AGGGATACTAGTTGTGTTTTCCTCAAAAGTTACATCCTGATCATCTATAGTATTGATTGAGTCATTTTCTTTTGAGTAATTAGGATTTGGTATATTAGTGTTTGGTCCATCTTGTTCTGTGACCATATCTGAGATATATGGGTTTTCTGGACTGTAGGATATATCTTCTGTTTGCATTTTTTGATTAAGTTTGTTTGTTTCCATTAAGGATTTCTTTCATTCTTTTTGTAACTGTCTTAGTCCATTGAAGCTCTAAGTTCTGCACATTCTTTTTTAATATGTCCTGTTTTTTCACAATAATAATATATTTTTGGGGCCTCCAGTCTGTAGTGACTTTGTGATCACCAACATGCATGTGTCTAGGTAGTCTGGCTGACAGGTTCGGATCATTTGATATTTCAAAAGTTACAATCCATTGGTTAGAGCATATTGGGGTTCCTTCATATAGAAGTGGTTTTATAGAGGCAATGGTGCCGATATTCTGGAAAGCTTCCTTAATCTGTTTATTGATAACTTTTTTATTGCCCATTGGTGTGTTCTTCAATTTAACTGAAAGGAATGTATGCTTAAGATTAACTGGGACATATCCAAAGAATGTTTGTTTAAACATTGTAATCCCTTCTGAAGCATACAGTTGTTGTGAGTTTTTGCTGCTAGCATATCTTCTCCCAGTTTGATGTAGAGGGTTAAGATGATGTCATTGGTAGGTACGTTGGTAAGCTTAAAAATGTCAAAAACAAGAGCATTTTCATTCTTAGAATAGATCTTGTTTCTGGGTGCTGTGTTAGAGAAGGTTGCCTTGCCTCCTTTCAGCTTTGAGAATAAATCTGACCATTGCTTGGGTTTGTTGTTAGCTGGTTTGTTATTCACATCATTTGATGTTATGCTATCAATGATTTTGTCTTGTGTATCAATTTTGTCATGTGCAATATGCACATGTTTTGTATCTGTTTGTTTGTTGTTTTCTGTGTTTGCTACTGCACATGTCTTGTTTTTTACCTTGTTGTTTTTGTTTGTAGAAGAAGTAGCTTTCTGTTTGCCTTTACCAACTGGTTTTTCTTCTTGTTTTATGTTACTGGCCCAGTTTTTGTCACCTTGGTTGTTGGTAAATATGGCATGTTTGCTGTTTCTGCTTCTATAATAGGAGTTTTTTCTTGTTCTGATGACAAGTCAAAGTTCTTTTTTTTGGCTCTAGTGTCAAGAAGTTTTGGTCTCTTGGGTATCAAGCTGCTCATGTTTGACAGAAATAAGTTTCTTTTCTTGGGTATAAAGGCTTTAGCCCTACCAGAGGAGTTTAAAAAAAAGTTTTTATTTAGTTTTTGTGAAATTTTGTTATTTTTGTGTTGTTACCAAAAGTGTACCAGAAAGAGTTACTTTATATAATGTGTTGCAGTTTTCTATTTTAAGAATGCATCTTTACAATTGCTATCACTAGGATTTGAATCAGCAACCTTGTAATTTGTGACTTTGGAGCATAACTGCTATACTATCTGTTTTAGAGATCTTAAAATATTGTATTATTTTAAAAAAATATACTTGTATATATAAAAAAGTCTATTTAAGAGTAAACTCTTTCTAGATTATTCCTGAAACTTATAGAAATACAAAATTTTACAGCAAAACAAAACAGTTCACTTTACAAACTAAGCAAAGAGAGATATATAACTCCCTAAAAGCATAAACTACTGTTGACAGCTATGAGCAAGCTTCTATACAAAAAAGTAAAAGCAGATACTGGTAAAGACCAAGTATTTAAGCTTGTAAAGGCTGAAAAAAACAAAGAGAACTTTACAGTTCTGAAAATCAGTAAGGTTGTGAACAGCAAATATGAGGCACATACAGTAGCAAACACAGCAACAAAAAAGTCTAGTTTAGACTGGGCTAGTCAAGTCGAAGCTGATTCAAAAGTTAGAGAAGAAAATAAAGAAGAAAACATCCACATAACTGGTGACAAGAAACAAAAAAAAAAAGAAACACCAAGTCAAAAACACATGCAGAAAATAAACAATTCAAAACACATGTCTGGAATTAATAAACAAGAACATGTAAATGCTAATGCAACAGCCATTAGGCAATTACAAATCCTAAAGAGTCAGACAACAAGAATATACCATACAGTAACACAAGGCCAAAACAATGGTCTGAGTTATTTACAAGACTTAAGAGAGAAAAAGCAGTGTTTACAAATTCCTCTTTCAGCCAAAAAATATGCTCTAAAAATCAAAACACCCTCATTTAGACATCCAAAGTCTAAGCAATATCTCTACTAATGGCATAATTACAGCATTAGCAGCCAGCTTAGGAGAAGAGCTAATGGCTGCAAAAATCCATATGTCTAAAGGGAAACAATCTTCTCTTGTAGTTTTTAGAACCAATAAAAAAGTTCAGCTCTATGCAGCAAATGGAATTCCACTGTTTAAGCAAACACTTTTTGGATATATTCCAATCAATCTTAACTGCTCCTTTTTAACAGTTAAACTTCGAAACATGCCTATGGGAGACATTAAAAAAATCAGCAACCAGGTGCTTGATACCTTTCAATATGTTGACCAAATTGAATCAATAAAACCTTTAATGTTTGAGGGCACTACTGTCTGCTCTGACCAATGGCTGATGATATTTGAAACTACAGAAGATCCTGATTTATCTTCCAAAATACCCAGAAGTATCCATATTGGCAATTATAAAATAACAACTGAGTGGAGGGAAGCACCCAAAATCTGCTTTTATTGTGAAAAGAAGATCAAGCAATTATAAAAAAACTCTTTCCGGTTTACCTTCAGAAAAATAGAAAAATCAAAAAGTAGTATGCATGACACAATAGTTTACTTTAAAAACTCTAGTAGGCCCAAGGCCCTGATACTCAAAAAGTGAAGAATACTAACTGCAAATATGAGCAAGACACAACACAAGAAAATTAGAACAAGTCTTAGCAAGAAAAAGGTCTTTA